CATCAGCGCCCAAAGTTTGAGATGGCGGCTGGCGCCTGCAAGGGCATGGCGGGCCCGCGCGTCGCGATATCTGTCAAGAAGTCGGACTGGCAGCAGGCATGGGCGGACCCAGTGGACACCAAGCAGGACATCGCGAGGCAGCTCAACTTGACGAGGGCCACGGCGTTGGGGGAAGACATGGGACAACTCGCGCTCGAGGGCCTGGGCGGCGCCACTCCATCATCGCCCACCTCCAAGGCGAAAGGCGTCGACCAGTTGGGGCCGCCAGAAATCGAGGGGGCGCCGAAGGAGGCTCGAGTATAGCTCCTCCAACTACTACAGCATGGCGAGCAGGCGGTGACTTGGCCGAGACAAGTGGCAGCTTCCAAGTGTGCGCTGGCAGCCGAGCCCCAAGGTGGAGACCGTGCGTTGGGCATGATGGCGCCCCCGGTCAATCAGTGGTCGAGGTCGAGAGGGGGGTGCTGTGATCGTTGGGGCGCTGGTCTGGAGGCGCGCTGGGACACAGCGCTCAAGGGCAGCTCTGCCCTGAGGATGACCCCGTTGAGGGCGTGTCCTGACAGGGTGGGGGCGGGGCTGGGGGCGCCAGCCATGGCGCTATTATTGGAGATCGAGAAGTTCTATGACGCGGTCTCGTTCGTCATCCAGATGCGCGTTGCAATCGAGGTGGGCTTCCCATCGGTCGTGGCGGCCCTGTAGGTGACGGCCGCCATTGGGTCGAGGTTCCTGCAGGAGAGCAGTGCCCTCAGCGAGACCATCTGGCCTGTCTGATCGCTGGTGGCTGGCTCAGCGCGCGGAGTGGGTCTGGCACATCGTCGAGCTCCCGCCTCGCGTCTATGGACGTTCGTCGATGACGCTGTCGCGAGGGCGAACGGTTCCAGAGCTCGAGTGGTCGACGCTATCATGCAGGTCGCCTCGCTTATCGCGGGCGGCCTCGAGCAGCAGATCGCGGTGGTTTCCAGCAAGTCAGTGCTGCTTGGCTCCCGCGCCAGGATGTCAGGAGGACTGCGGGGGGGGGGGGGGGGGGGGGGCTGCGCAAGAGGAGGATCCCCACCCATGCGGCCGCTAAGGCCGTGGCCCTAGGCAGAGACACCACGGCGGGGCGCAGGCGGACCACGGCGAAAGCGGCCCTTCGGCGTCACAAGGCCATGAAGAGGTTCGCCAGGACATATTGTGCCGATTTGCAGCACTGGCGCGAGAAAGCAGAGGACTATGGATTTTGGGGGCCATTCCGCAGGCAGTCTACGGAGAGTTGGCCTTCGGCATGACGGTTCGCGAACTTCAGCGACTACGCCTCCGTAGCCTTTGGCTCAAGCCATGTTGGCTCAAGTGGCCATGTGTCGAGGCAGCTGGCCAGGTCAGCTCGGGCCTGTCTTCGGGCTCGGCCCTCGACGCGAGGGCTTGGGGGCAGGCCCTCTTGGCGCGACCTCATCCAGTCTCACTTTCGCAAGTTGGGGGCTCAGAGTCGCCCGCGCAGCCATGGAAGATGCCGCGCCTGAGTGGTTCTCGGCCTTCGTCGCAGGACAGTTCGCTGCATTGGCGAAGACGGCCGCCGATGCGAACAGCCAGCTGACGGGCCAGATCAAACAACTGGACGGACGGATGGCTGCACTCGACATCAAAGTACAGCGGATGGAGATACGTATCCAGGCTTCAGAAGAAGCTAGACGACAGCATCAGTGGCAGCCTCTTGCACGCTTGGCACAGACAGGACGAGGCTGGCTAGAGTGGGTATGACAGCTGGGACAGACACCAGCGATGCATGTAGAATGTGGGTGAGTGGATATCCACGTGCTGTTCTTGCTGCCACGAGACAGACGACCTGGCAGCAGCTCCAGCAAGGAGCACCGAGCCACCTCATGGACGGCACCACAGCGCAGTTTGCAAAAACGAGTCAGAGTTTCTCCATCCACTTCAAGGATGAGGACACGGCAAAGAAATTCAAAGCATGCTTCATCCAGCAGCAGCTTCAATGGGAGGATGCTCGAGACGGATCATGTCATGATCTACGTATTCGCACCGACCTCCCAGATGACGCCCGTCATCGACAGAGACGCATGTCACATTTATGGGCGCCGGTCGTTCAGCTCTTGGAGACTAAGAGCAAGTACCAAGCCGACTGCAAGATCGGCGCAAACGGGTTCCGCAACGAGTTCTTCATCCGCACATCCGATGACTTATTCATCTTGGCAAAAAAGATAAAACGGGGCGGGCTCGGCAGGCTGGTGCTCAAGCCCAACGCTAGCGACCTCGCTTTCATGGGCATTCCCGTAGACCAGATGCAGCAGTGGATTGACGGATGCGGCAGTGCACGCTGATGGTCTCCGTCGCCAGCTTCTTCGGTGGCACGCTGCGCGGGGGCGGCAGCGGACATTGCCACGGACGCGAATTCGCAGATCACATGCTCATTTTCTTCCTGCTCCTCGTCCACGTTGAGCGCCTCTTCTTCCTGCACTTCTGACTCTGTTCACGATCTGGCTAGCCAGCCAGACGATCCCCATTTTTCGCAGCCGTCGCCGCCTCCGGCTGTTCCCGACTGGCTCTGTGGCCAGCATGCAGTGCACCGACAGCCTTTTTTCCCCACTTCCTCGCTTGATATAGTTTCCTGGAATGCGCCTGGTCTCCTCGGCTCGGCGCGGACCCGTCGTCAGATGAATGCTTCGATTAGATGCAAGAAATTTCTCGGACTCTGTAAGCACCGCAAAATTGTTTGCGCTCGGGAGACTCACGGGACAATCGCCGACGCCAACTGTATTCGACGAGGATTTCGACATGCGAATGTAGGTTGCACGATGTTTCAGGACTCCGCCAGGGCTGGAGGGCTTGTCACTTTCATCGCTGCTGATCTTGCACAGCAGTTTCATACCATTCAACACCATGTGATTCAGGGAGGCAGGATGCTGATGAGTGTCATGTTGGGGGGCAAAGGGAACTTGACTATCATGAATGTCCATACGCCGAGCACGTGCGAGTCGCCAGCAGTCTGTGCATCCAGCCTTGACGAGCTACTCGAGGTTTCACCGCCTGCCGGGCAGTGTTTTTTCTATTTATCTTGGGCGATTGGAATTTTACTTTGGAGGAGGAAGGGGGGATGTATCCTGACGGGGCGGGTTGGGCCCGAGGTGACACGCGTTTCCACGCGCTCTTTAACCAGAAGTGCTCGGACCGGATTGAATACTTTCAAGCAGA